TCCATACAAGTCACAAGGTCCTCAATTTTGGTATTTCATTCTAGATAATAACTGAAATGACACCAGCATGTATCAAGTACTTACATAATTCCAAGCATTTTGTTAAATGCTGCATAAAGGTCATCTTAGTTCTATGAAGAGAAGCTCATACTTTCCCTTTCACCAGAAGAGAAATGAAGCTGCTGAAGGCTTCACCAACTTGCCCAGGGTCAAGCAAACAGCAAAACAGAGTGGACACACCTGAACATGGCTGTGTTAATGCCATATTTGGAGTTCTTACCTACTATGCTTACTCTCTCCATTTGAAAAGTTGCATTATAAAATAACCTGTTTGTGCAAATCCAAGTCTTCCTACTGTGAGACTATATGGATGATTACACTAAAGCAACCCATTACATCGATTGCTCTGATCTATCCTGAGCTTCTGAGGACTGGAACCCTCTAGTTTGTACAGCCTGAAGTTGTACTCTTTAAAAAAAAAATTACAATTTTAGCTATGAAATTGAGTATTTATTTTGAAAAAGAAAATATAAGTGAAGGAGCCAGGATTGTAAGCTTTGATTCCACCCACAGATCTGAAAAAAATTGTTTGTGGGAGAGATGGAAGGTGACAGAGGCTTAGTTGACAAATTTTAAAAGGGAGAATCAGCTAGTAACCTTCTTTAGGCAGCGTCAGTTTTTTCATCCTCCTATTTGTAAGAGCATCAGTTCCGAATGTGGGTTCTCCCACACCCAATGTGCCTGGAAGTATCTGTGGAGGCCCTACTTTTAGTTTCTGATATAGAAGTCTGATGTTGTCAAGGTAATTTGTACTTCTTAAAGATTTATTTTTAAAGATTTATTTATTTATGCATACAGAACTGGGATACAGGCCAGAGGTGCAGGGGCAGTGAGAGGATTCACCAGAGACAGAGTGGGGAGCAGAACAGGCCAACTGATGAGGTATACTGCTGAGGGGAACAGCGGGCGGAACAGGAATGGATCACCTCAGGGATGGGGATCGAACTCATGCTGAAGTGGCTTTGGCTTCTTAGTGCTGTGCCACCCGCTGCGCCACCAAGGAGGACCAGTAATTTGTGTTTTTAATGCGATCACAGCTGATTCTCACGTTTGAACCATCAAGTTTGAATGACTTTCCTCTAGTTTTCATCACCTGCTACCCCTACCCCTACACTCTGCCTTCTCTTAAACAGTCACAAGTTAACAAATCTTTCCCACACCACCCTCCAGCCTCAGAATACCCAACATGCAGACTGTGGTGCTTATCTTTTGCCTGCATGACTCTTTTCTTATATACAAGTGAATTTCTTTTAAACTGAATATCAAATATTCTGTGTCAGTGACAGAGCCAGGGAGGATCCCCTGAATTTCATTCCCTCTAGTGTTCATGTCCTGTCCTCCTCTCTCCTTAAATGAGGGTGGAATCTGTGACTTGATCTAATGGATAGACTATGACAACACTGATAGAAAAATTGATCCTATGGTTATATTACACTACTTAAGATTTTGTCCACACAGCCTGGGGAGTCTCACTGTTGGCCTGATGAAGTCAGCAGCCTTGCAGAGAAAGCCCGAGAAAGAGGTGAGTAGTTGCAGGCAGTTTAGAGGAGAGGACTGTGGCAGCCAATCTAGAACTCACAAAAAGCAGGTGACCCTCCTCACAGCCACCAGGAAATAAATAAATAATAGGTAATAAAACTATTAGATAATAAATGTGTGTGTTGTTCTAAGTTATTATATTTGTGGAGTAATTTATTACACAACAATAATAAATTGTTTCCATTTGTAAGCTACTTTTCTCATAATCATCATAGTTTTCTGGATTTATCCACACTAACATTATAGCTCTTGTCCTTCATTTTTACTGCTATATAATTTTTTACTATGTGACTATAATACAACTGACATCCATTTTTCTGTTGATTATCATTTAGGTTGTATCTATTTTAAAAATATTTATTTATTTATACATACAAGAACTGGCCAGAGATGCCGTAGGTGGGAGAATTCATTAGAGACAGAGTGGCCCACAGAACAGGTTGATTGACTGAATACACCATTGAGGGGAGCAGGGAGTAGGACAGGAGAGGTCTGCTGTGTCACTTGGGTTACCTACCTGGCTGAGAAGTGAACTCATGCTACACTGACTGTGGATAGCTTCATAGTGCTGGAGGGCATTGCTTATATTTTTTTAATAAGCAATATTACTTAGAATAATTATGTCTTTTTAGGCATATAGATCTGTAAGTAGAATCAATGGAACATAGGAAGTAAAAAAAAAATTTAGGGGATCCTGCTAAATTACTCTCTAAAATGGATCTTCCAATTTATACATACCCATCAGGTGATGAAGTCACTGACATTTACATCCTTGTCATAGTGATGATTATTACTAGCATTGACACATAACTTTAAAACATGCATTGCTATTGTTTCCCATCATATTCAAAGAGAGAATAGTAAAGTGATCTCAATATACCCATAATCTAGACTCAGTAATCATCAGTGCATAGGATAGTTTGTTCACTTGCACTTGTAGGGCACTCCTCTGCCCCACCGCCACACACTGAGGGCTTTAAAGCCATATCTCAAACATCATGCCATCTTATCCATAAACACTGCAGAATATATCTCTAAAATGAAGGCTATTTTTACATAAAAATCCCATTTACCATTTACCTTATTTTCACCAGTGGTAACAACTTACAGAACTAATAACACATCACAAGGATACTGACAACACAGTTGAGATACAGAACATTCCATCATGGAAATGATCCCTCATTTTGCCTTTGTATAGCTATATTCATACCTCTCCCACCCAATCTTCTCCTTAACTTCTGGCAATCACTTATCCAGTCTCCTTTTCTATACTTTTGTCGCTGAAGAGTATTACACAATATGTAACATTTCAAGATTAGCTTCCTGCATAACTGTGTGCAGTCAACGAGGTTGTTGTGTATATCAATGATTTGTTCTTTTTGATTCCTGAATAGTAAGTATTCCATGGTAGGAGGTACATAGTTTACTAACCATCCCGTCATTGAACAACATCTGGATTTTTTTTTTTTAAAGATTTATTTATTTGTGCATACAGAACTGGGGTACAGACCAGAGGTGGTGAGAGGCTTGACCAGAGACAGAGTGGGAAGCAGAACAGGCAGATCAAAGAAGTCACTGCTGAGGGGAGCAGCGGGCGGGCCAGGAGAGGTCTGCCACGCCATGTGGTCACCTCCGGGGCAGGCGGGAATCCAACTCATGCGGAAGCGGCTTTAGATTCTCAGTGCTGTGCTTTAACCCGCTGCGCCACCAGGGAGGGCCCAACATCTGGATTTTTTAATGAAATTTTATTGAAGTAAATTTCATATGCCATACAATTCTTCCCATTTAAAGTCTGCATTGCAGTGGTTTTAAATGTATTCAGCAAATTGTGTAACCTTAACCATACTTTTAAAAAAGTTTAGTTAGTTCAGAAAGAAATCTAGTACTCATCATCAGCCACTTCCATTTGCCCTCAAGGCCTCATCACTGCAGCCCTAGACAACCACTTGTCTGCCTATCTCTATAGATCTACCTGTTCTTGGCATGTCAGTTTCAGATGCTATGTAGTCTTTGTGACTAATTTCTTTCACTAGGTATAGTACTTCCCTGGTTCATTCATACAGTTGTATTAGTGCTTTATACATTTTAAAGGCTGAATAATATCCCACTGTATTGGTATGTCACATTTGAGTTAGCATTCATCAGTTTGGGTTTTTTCCCCACTTTTGAGCTATTGGGAATAATGCTGGTATGGACATTCATAAACCAATTTTTGTGTGGTCTATGTTTTTATTTCTCTTAGTTTGGTTTGGTTATTTCTCTTACATTGGTTTACAACCTTATATGTGTTTTAAGAGTATAACACTTAATGTTAAATGTTTTGTTACCACACCACACCCACCACCAAAGCACCAAATCCTCCATTACACTGAAAAATAAACTTCTAAATGACATTAAGACATTCAATCTTGAACATCCTATATGCTCTTCATTTGTCAGTTAAAAAAAAAAACAATGATGTCAATGATCATCTCCACAATGATGTCCTGCTTTTTATGTAAATATCTGGAATTTGGGCTTTTTTAATTTCTAGTTGATTCTACTGTGAAGTTAAGGTTGACCATTCCTTTACCTGATTTTTTAAACCTTCAGATGATTTTACTGTGAGTCATGGCTGACCTACCTAGCTAGCCCTTCTCATTTCCTATCACTCTCCCTTCTACTGTCCAACCCATATGTTTCTTTCATCATGCCTTAATCAAGCCATATTTGTTTTTTCAGCTTTCACAGCTATTTACAGTTTTTAAATTACTTATGGCTGACTTGACCAGTTCCTTATTTAGATGATCATTTACTCAGAATGCCTCAAGTTACCCATCCTAATATATCCCTTTTCAATCTCCATTTATTATTGCATTATTACTATAACCTTTGCCACTACTTGAAAGCACACAGCAGATGCCTCAAAATTATTTGAATTAATTTTTAGTTAACATTGGTTTACAACTTTGTATGATTAGAGGTATAGGATCACACCCTTCAAACGTTACACCACACTCACCACGAAGCATCCATAGTCCTCCACCATAGTCCATTGTGCTCCCCTCACTCCCCAGTCTCAGCTCTAGTCAGATTTTTAGGGTTTGTTATTGATGTGGCTTTATTTGACCATTTATTTTTCTATATTCCACATGTAAGTTACATCACCTGGTATTTGTCTTTCTCCTTCTACTTATTGTGCTTTAAAGGCATTTGGAAGACGACTGAGCAGGCAGGGTAGGCAGTCAATAAGCAGGGACTGCTGCAAGCCTCCAGCTGCATTCAAGCGCAAGCCGAGCCCGAATTGGCGCCAGATGGTAAGACCTAGGGACAAAATTAAGGCCCGAGAGCCCATGGAAGTTAGGTCGCCAGGGGGCGCTGAGCAGAGCCGGGATCGCAGAACTCTCGCGAGTAGCGAGACTAGGCCTCCCGGAAGTGATTTCTCGGAAGGAGCATGGCCGCTGCGTTCATCTGAGTTCTGCTCGCCCCCCAGCACACCATGCAGTCAGATGATGTGAGTCTTCTCCCTTTCCTCTGGCACCTGGGGTTTGTGTGGGGTGATCCTCCTGATTAAAAGCCGCATGTTCAGCTTGTTCACTGGCCTCGTGTCGCCCCGGAAGCGAGGTTTCCAGAGTCCCGTTTTCGTGCGTGGGGCTCTCAACGTGTACAGCCGGGGGCTCTTACTGCTGCCCCAGTGGGGCTGAGGCACCAGAACCCCGCCACTTGAACCCACATGGTCAGACTAGCAATGAAGGACCTTACCTGTGGTCCTTCTCTTCTTGGGAGGCGAAGGATGGGGCTGGTACAGCGGAAGTGAGAACCCAATTTTAAGCACCTTTTCATCCGTACACACTAACTTTTTTTCGTGTTAGGTTTTCCTGTACGTGTTTCCCATGTGTATGCTATTCAAGTCATAATTTCGGAGTCGTCGTGGACTTATTCATTTAGTTATTTGTTGTGTAAATGCTTAAGTGCTTACAGTGGACTATGCATTGTGGAGTTTGTCAGTAAAGAAAGTCAAAGACTTGCCTTCGTGGAAAAATCTGGTGAGAGAGACTAGATAAAATTAACTTCAACAGTAATGGTGAAGATGAACAATTGGATGAATTTGAGATGTTTTCCTACCCTGACCAATGAGATTTAGTGATGGATTAAGTGAAGAAGAAAATGGAGTAGAAGGATTTTTAAATTTGAACAAATAGTTCAGTGGTGGTTGTATTGAGATGGTAAAGTCTAGAGAGGAACAGTATTCTTTTGAGAGGTGTGGAATTGTAATATATGTATGAGTTAGACAACCAAATGGAGGTGTCAGGGAGGCAGCAATGAAGTCTGAAGTTCAGGCAAGAAGCCTACCCAGATGACAACAGGTTGGGAATCAACTTAAAGATGTTATTTTAAACAATGAGCCAGAATAAGCTACTTTACCAGTTTCATTTAATCTTCCTGTTTACTACTATCCCCTCCCAAACACATATCCTATACAATTTCCAAAATGACTTTGTCTCTTCATTGTTTTTTTTTTCCCTTCAATGCTTTAAGGACTTTTATTGGTTTTTCAAGACAATTTACAGGTTTCCTACCTCTATTTTGACTGCTAATTTGTGATGCTTTATTTACGTCTTTCTCTTAAAGATTGATAAAACTCATTGAAGCCTATACCTTCACTCAGTACTTGAGTGCTTCCTAGGTATCAGGCCTAAAGGGTATCAGTGTCTTACATAAAGTATGGGTATAGTAAATGTTAAATAAATAAAGACCACCATGGTGTAGGATAACGTTGTGGTACATGCATCCCAAAATCTAGCCCTGTGCAGATTTTAATGAACATATTGACTAGAAAAAGTTATTTATAGATATGTGTATTATGCATACTGGTATGCATAATAGTTGATAGACTGTAGAAAAACTAAAAAACATTGACAAAATACTAATCATGTTTTGAATTTATAAAAATTTGGTATTTGTATAAGGAAGGCAAGTGAGACTATTCTATAAAACATTTCTTCTCTTGTTCCTAGGACATTCTTTACTTGAGGGAATATGCTATCAGTTAGGTCAGACCAATTGAAATGGATTTTTACTTTGTTTGCAGGTAATCTGGGATACATTAGGAAACAAGCAATTTTGTTCCTTCAAAATAAGGTGAGTCTAGATTTGAAAGTTAGGGGAAAAATGCCTAATTTTCCCTTTTGACAACCCAGCTTCAAATTTTTTGCTTTTTCCTATCCCATTGTAGAACCAAGACCCAGGGCTTTTGCAGAAATGAATACAATCTGACTGGATTATGTAATCGGTCATCCTGTCCCCTAGCTAACAGCCAGTATGCTACTATCAAAGAAGAGAAAGGTAACACCCTGTCTTAACTTCCATGAGAACTATTCAGTAGCTTTTAAAAGAATGTCTTTTTTTTTTTTTTTGGTGTCTTTGTAAATAGTGTTAACAATACTTTATCCTGCAGGACAGTGCTACCTATATATGAAGGTTATAGAACGAGCAGCTTTTCCTAGGCGTCTCTGGGAACGGGTGAGTCTTAACATTGGCCAAGAGCAAAATGCCACATGTATTTCTTTCCCTTGAGTATATATTTTCAAAGCCATTCTCATTAGTTATTGTTAAGAGTACCATTGCCATTCACATTTCCTCTTTCTGGTCTGTAGGTCCGGCTTAATAAAAATTATGAGAAAGCACTGGAGCAAATAGATGAAAATCTGATTTACTGGCCCCGTTTCATTCGACACAAATGTAAACAGAGATTCACCAAGATTACACAGTACTTAATTCGAATTCGCAAACTTACACTAAAGCGACAGTAAGTATTATTTTTTAAATCTGTCTTTCCATTAATCTTGTTAGAAAGCTAAGAAATTGTGAAATTTCTACTAATGTTAGCCTGTTTGGTATGCTAAAAAGACACAGTACCTTAAAGTTGTGGTCTTTGATTTTGCAGGATTTTTAAAACACTGTAGTATGACTTAGGTACATCCTGCCTGAAACACATCTTCAGGAACATTTTTAATAACTCCTTGAAAGAATTTTAAAATTGGGAAGTTTAAAATGACCTAGAAAAAAGTTAATGAACAGGAATAAAAGAATTTTACTCTGGGTTCACTAAAAATTAATTTTAAAAAGTGACATGAATCCACAGAACTCACTCAATACCTTCTTAAAGAGTGATGGGCCCTGGTACTTTCTCATTATAAATTGCAGAGAATCTGAAAGTATCAGTTGTCTACAAAACAAGTCATTTTCTTAGTTCACTGAAGTATTAATATTAGCAAAGTGAATTATCTTCAACGTTTCAGAGTGCCTGAAGAAAACAAACATAACATTAAAATATGTACAAATGGTTTGATAGCTTTAAATTTGTAGAAATTTATATAATCTTACTATATTGCCTACAAAATCAATTGTAATCCTTTTTCATCTTTTTAAAGAAACACCTAGCACATTTACTTGTGTTTCCTGATAATGTGTTTTTACTTCCCACAGGAAGAAACTTGTTCCTTTGAGTAAGAAAGTAGAGCGGAGGGAAAAAAGAAGAGAGGTAACTTACTGTTATGGTTCATATCTCCTATACTTTCATTGAGGTTAGGGTGATGTAGGGCAAGGGCAAGAGAAAGGTTCAGTTACCATTGTCTAAGAACTGTACAGGCCCTGGATAAATGTTTCATTAATGGGTAATAGTCATAGTTGTCTTAAGACACCTGATTTTCCAAAGCTAAGGTTTTTGACTTTCAGGGCAATTGTTATGAGGGTTTGTGTAATGGGGAACAGAAAGAATACTGTAGACAGCCAACAATTCCTAATCAGGAATTTGTTGAGGTTACATGTTTCAGAATTCAGAATTTTGATGTTGCCTATCTTACATATTACCATCAGCAGGGATTAAGCAGTCTTAACCAGTAATAATTCAGTAGTGAAATTAAGAATGTTCACACTAGTTGCAATTTTTAAAAACTTTTCAAGTAACCGCTTGTCTTTTCTAGTTACATTTGACCACTATATTGTTTTTTTAATTTTAAAATTATAAGTAATCATGAAGTATTTACCTCAGTAAACTGGGTAGTTTTACTATTTAAGTAATGAATAGTGATGGTAATATGTATTTTCTGTGGTACTATCGATGGATATTTTAGTCAGGATCCAGCCCTTGTCATACAGAGTAGTGTACCTATCCTTTACAATGATAGCTCTCTCAACCTGAATTTTCCTGTGTTTTTCGAGATTAGCTTTCCCTGATGACAAGTTCAAATTTGGTCATTCTCCATATTTGCTTTACTTTCTGTTCCTACCAATAGACTGATCATTTGTCAGCCTATCAAGAAACAGCTTTAATAATCTTTTGTCCCATTAACCAGTCTTATATCTTACTTCTTTTCTATCAGTGGTCTCCAGTGATAGAGCTTTAACATATAATCCCAAATATATTACTTATTAATGTTACTGTGTGTATATTTGTAGTAATACAAGAACATTGTAAATAACTGTGTAATGTGAAATGAAAGGTCTGGGACTAGTATGAATTATGAATTCATCTTTAACTGATAGCTCAGAGATGTGGAAATAATGTACATTGTAGTTTCCAGTAAATACTTGCTCTCCACTTCTAATTCTGCATCATCAGTTAAGAGTTTTTATTCAGATCTGGCTAATGTGACTTCTTCCCTGATATTCTTGCAAAGTTCTGAGGAGAAAATAAGTTTTTTCTATTTTTATCAGATGTGAAGATCTCTGAAAAATGCAGATGGGAAGATTTTTACTACATGGGTTGGAAAGTTCTATTCCTAAATTTTCTTTAATGTGATTGCAGTAGTTCCTAAAATTCTTAATTTGGAAAAGGGTGATCACAATTTCTATAGGATAACATTTTCAGTACTGACATATGTATTTTTTAAATGTTTTGTCTACAGAACAATTTTCAAAAAAAAATTTCGTCAAACTTCATATTGCCTTTTGAAAGAACACTGAAGTAGAAAAACATTAAATAATGAGCATATCTTTGTGCCCTATTTTATTGCACACTAGTAGTGTCTATAAATCCACTTTCCCAAATAGTAGTTTTGTTATAATACAAATAAAGGAGTGGGGCACTACCTTCAAACATTTTGTCCACTTTTCTCCATAGGATGTCTTACTGTGACACATCTGCTTTCTGAACAGTTAGTCAGCATGCATAAAAATAATTTATAATAGTTTTTTAAGAAAATAGTGTGTACATAAGTTTGGAATTATTTTCTTCCTTGCATCTCAGTGGATTGCCCTTGTCTCTGCATTGTGATTTATCCTGTGCACCCTTCATGATTCTAACATAGCTTTAGAAATCTTCTGATTTTCAGTATCAAATTAATGCACAACCTAAGCTAGAAACTTAGGTCATGTTTTGGTTTGGTAGATTGGTGGGAAGGGAGTTCTATATTTCTCTACCACAGAATCTCATATTTAGAAAAGATAAATGAGTATATCTGTTCCTTTTCCTCAGTTTATTAGTGTTGGTTTCAATATTGCTAATTTCTGAGACACTGAGGTATATGTAGACTTGCATGCTGTGTATCTCTATCAAAGGCTTTTTAGAATTTAATTTAGAATACTATTTGTAAAACTATAGGAGTTTTTTTTTATTTGAAAAGTTCCTAAGGTTTGAGAGGCCTGGAGAGGCAAACTCAATAAAACCAAGAGGGAAAATAACTCTTATCTTATAAAAACTAAATTTTTAAATGAGTTATCAATGAAGTAAATGGGTTTGCTCTTTTCTTTTAGGAAAAGGCATTAATAGCTGCTCAGCTGGACAATGCCATTGAAAAGGAATTGCTGGAGAGATTGAAACAAGATACGGTGAGAAAGCTACTAGCAACAGGGGGTACATATTTTATTTTTTAGGAAGCAATCTGCTAGGAAATAGTGGGAAATGTATTTTAATTTTAAAGATGTTAGAATGATAGTCACCTTGATTTTATTCCTACAATAAAAGGAATCTCATATAGCCCCTAGCTTCTTCCTAGTTCTTTGATAAAAGCATGTAAAAATGTTACTACTGGTACTCTTAAATATAAAAGAACCCTTACTTCTTTTTGCCATTAATCCCAACTCCTATCCCCAAATGCAATTCCAGATATCTGACAAAAATCATGTATTTTTTGATCTCTGTTAATGTTATCCTATTCTTTTAAGGTACCGTAAGCCTTGAGTTATCCTTTTAAAAAAATCAGTGTCACTTAGAGAAAAACATCAGTGAAATTTTGTTCCTTATTTCCAGTAATACTACAGTTGTTCCAGGTCATGGGCTTTATGGAATAGTAAATTTTAAGTGATCTGGTTTTGTCTTTGTCTTATTTGTTATTAACCACTGACTATTTAAACGTCAAAATTGAGTTTTAAAACTTACTTCCAGCACTAAGCTAGACTATATTTTATCAAAGTAAGCATTCTCATTTAATTACTCAGGAACCATAATATGCTTGTACAGTAGCTAAGGCTAAGGTACAAATGTAGTTAAAACTAATCCTTGTTTTATGTTCTTCAGTACGGTGACATCTACAACTTCCCCATTCATGCCTTTGACAAGGCCCTGGAACAGCAAGATGCAGAAAGTGACTCCTCAGATGATGAGGAAAAAGATGATGAAGATGATGAAGTAATTCAGCCTATTTTATATTTGAATGTCATTTTCAGTTTCCTAAAACAAAAAAAAATGTTTTGATCTCTTTTATTGTGAAATTACTTTGGTTTGTCAGTGGCTATATGTTTTCCAAGCTCAACCAACAAATTACTTGTGCTTTTGATAGTTTTAATCTTATTAAGTTATCCTTATCAGCTATTAAACTGAGTAAAAGAAACCCACTGAAACATACAAAAGATCAGCTATTAAACTGAGTAAAAGAAACCCACTGAAACATACAAAAGATTTAATCTTACTAATAATATTAGGGAAGTTGTTTGATAGTATTTTGAGGTAAAGGGCAGATTTAGCAAGTACATGCTTAACCACATGGTATAGGTGCATAGGTGTACTCTTCCTATTAAACTGTTTTTGCTATTTGGCACTAAAATTTTAAGGTGATTTTACAACTTCATAAATTCTTCCAAATATACTAATTTTAACTAATTAAAATGACTAATGATTGAAATCAGGCATGAAATCAATATTCCAAAAGTTTTTAATTGAAAAGCATTAAACTTGGTAATAAGTTTTCTCTTATGTATTTTTTTTTTAATCAAAAACTGAACTAGATGTGGCTCCCTTGCTTGGTTTTACCAGCCTGGGAGTCCCACTTTATTTCTGTTCCTTTTCTCCTCAATAACCTTTCTTTAAACCAGAAAAAAAAAAAAAATAGATGGCTCTTTTATGATTGTTGTAATTCTGTTAAATATTTTGAACCCAACAGTCTTGTTTTGTTTTAGGATATGGGAAAAAGAGAGTTTGTGGAAGATGATGAAATGGATGAGAGTGACATAAGTGATTTTGAGGTAGGTTAAAATTACCCTTTGACTTTCAGAAAAAATAAAGGGGGGGTTGGGGGAGTTTAAAAACATGGAGGCAGCTATCTGAACAACTTTCAATTGTCTTTAAACACATGCCTCATTTTTGTTGTTTGTATTTAACACAGTATTTGTAGGTTTTTTGCGATTTTAGATTGAGAGGACAATGAAAGAGTCTGGGAAATGAATGTAGTGTCTTCTCTCTTATTTTCCCCTCCCCATACTAGGATATGGACAAACTGGATGTCAGCAGTGATGACGATCAGGATGATAAATCCTATGAAGAGGAGAAGGCCCTTACTGCCAAACACAAAGGCAAAACACCCTTGAAAGGCCCTTCACAAAGAAAACGTGCCTACGTAGAGATAGAATATGAACAAGAGACTGAGCCAGTGGCCAAGGCCAAAACTACGTGATTTCCTTTTAGACATTTATAAACAGGACTGAACATTTTGAACAGCTTCTTTCATTTGTCTTACATACACACCTCCAGTTTTTGCTCTGTTTGTATTTAACACAATATTTGTGGGATTTTTTTTTTTTTTTTTTAATATTTATGCTACTTATAGGGCAAGAAATCCGGGAGTGGAAGAAAGAACTTTGTTTTGAACAGAGTATTTTTATAACATTGGCATATGTATTAAAAGTTAACAGCTTAAAAAAAAAAAAAAGTTAACAGCTTAAGCCCAACAAGTTTAACAGATGAATTTGTGGGTGTAAATATTTTTAAACTTTAAATGCTACTCAATATGTTTCCTTGCTGTATGCCCCCCAACTATATTTAGAAATGTTCAGACTTCTCCTTTTCCTACTAAAATAAATAAAAGAATAAAAGGAGGAAAAGGATCTTCAAAGTTATAGTGGTTAGTGTAAAAATACCTCTTTCCTTAAATAATTCCATTTATACAATTGGAATGGAAAAGTCTTTTCCTCTTTAGGGAAGTGGTACTAATTTTAAGTTCCATGGGAGGGAATGTCTTCAGAAGCCTGTTGCACTCTTATGATACAGTTCACCACTGTGCTGTCATCACAGCTTTCAGCAATTTTGGCCAAGAGACCCTGAAATACGGGGAGAAAAAAAAACTTAGATGTCTTTCTTAAATTACTATTATTATTTTCCCATTTATGCCTTGTTTCCTCTTGGTACCATAGAGAAGGAAAGAATGGATGACACTAGGGGACAGTTCACAGGACAGGTTCTTAAAAACTGTTGGCAGGCTTGGAAATGTCCCGCTGGCCCATGAAAAAGCAGCTTAATGTTAAACAAAACCAAATTAGATTCCATCTAGGATTTAAACTGTGTTAAACTAAAGAGCAGAAATGAAATAAACTGATTAAGTAATAAACTACTATCAAATATTTCTAGGATATAAGTTCCATTTTATGCTGCTTTTTTTATCTTTTGATTGAAGATTCCTAAGAAATGAGGCAGTAACTTATTAAATGTAAATGTAGCTATGATATGCTATGGCTTTAAGAAGTTAACTTTTGTGGACTGAGAGAGCAAAGGAAGAATTCCCATGTGAATAAACATGAGTTTGGAAAAAGAGTTTTCCTTAAGAAACTGGAGCATCCCAGTAGCTGCACACTTACCTATGTTAATTATTCCCTAGTGACTTTCAGCTCATTATTTCAGTTTTTCCTTTTTATCAGAGGACTAAAACAGAACTTAAATGTTCTAAACTCTTCATCATTGTTTTGTCAATACTCTGTCCTAGCCCAGAGACACAGTATTTTTTTGCATTCTGGTCTAAATGGTTCTGAGTAGTTTTAAAGGAATTGATTAAATTGCTGAAGGCTCAGAGGGGGAGATCTGCACCTTCTTGTTCACCCAGAGCACGTAAATACTCGATTCTAATGGATCGTAGGAACTAAGATAATGATAATGAGACCTAGCTGAGAAGTTACAGGGTAGCCCTTACCTTGACCTGTCCTTGAGAACAGCGGTCCAGCAGAATCATGCATTCTGTTGCCTTCTCTAATAAGGTATTCTTGACAGGCTCTGGTGTGAGGCTTGAATCCTTTGCTACATCACATACCAGTTTCAAGAGCACTTTCAGTAAGACCACAAGTCTACAGGAGATTCTGGAATTAAGGAGAAAAGCCATCAAGATATTAAAACTGAGAGACTACAAAGGCCATTTAAGTTAAAGCCCTCATTTCTTAAGTGGAAGAAATGAATTCAAAAAAGCACAAAGCTGAAAGCAGAACTGGAGCTCAGACTCTAGATGTCTTAACTTCAAGTTCCCTGGTATTTTTTTTAATGCATACTGTCCACATTCACAAACATCCCAGCCTGCTTAAAATACCTTGTGAATACAGTGGATTCCTGGTTTCCCTGTAAGGAGATATCCCCTGATGAAAAAGAACCAGGAGGTGGTCCACAGTCCTTAAACTATTGTGCAGTCTTAGGCTTTGATGTTAAAAGCAAAGTAAGGGAAATAAGCTTGGCTTCTGGTGTATCTGCCTCTTTGATTTTCTGTTATTATTTTTTTTTATTTTGTTAAGATCTTAGTTTACTATCAGTTAAATCCAGCTTATTTCACATGTTAGCCTAAGTTTTTATCTTCATGAAAAAGTTCTGGAGAACAGTGGTTATAGGTATGCAAAACTGAATGTAAAGTCACTGAACTTTAACATACTTGGTTATATCTTTTACCATAATTTAAAAAATTCTTAATGAAATCTGGAAAATTTACAATGTGAACATATGAATAGTAAACTACTTCCTGACAGAAATGTGACTTGCAGAAGTTTGTATCCCTTTGCTCTAGAAAGTTTTCCTATAATTTGTATGCTGCTCTCCCTCCTGCCTTCATCATTTAACACACAAGCTGCTGTTTCCCACTCCGCAGGCCCCCTTCCTTTCCACATACGATATTTTCTATTTTCATCCTCCCAAGATGTGTGTGCTGATCGCTGTTAGTTGGAATCTTGGTTTCTGCTCTTTAAGACCTGATTTATCCATCTATTCATTCTATTCCAGCCCACTCATTCTCCAGACATTGTGTACCTATACCATGCACTGAGTAAACTTTGGTATTCTCAGTATACCAAAGAAGTCTTCATCCTCCTGGAGCTTACAGTTCTGTAAGGTAGAAAGACAAATAAACAAATGCAACCTAGTTACAAATGTGACTAAGGAAAAAGACAGTCACATGTAAAGAAATGAGAAAATGATTCAGAATGTACATGTTGAGGTACTGTACTCAAGCTGAATTAATCTTTCTCATTTCAAGCAAGAAAGCCTTTTGCTGACTGAACATTTGTGGGTTCCAGTTTACCTCCAGCCTGAGTTGGAATGCTTTCTAAGCCTTCATATCCTACATTAACATTCTCTTAACCCCAGATCTGCAGATGTTAAATGACACCCTGTAAAGTGCTCCATTCTTAAGAAACAGGGTAAACAAAGTTGAATATTGCCTTTATTATGGCACTTGTAAATACCCTTTAAAATTCTAACATGATACATAGTGAAAAAAAGCTGGGTATATTTTACCTTTTTAATGTCTTTCTGTCCCAAATCCAAAAGATGAGTAGAGATATTCAAGTATATGACCTGTCCTCAATACTAAATGTACATCTAAGTAAATTCTGAAGAGAAAATTGGCTGAGTTAGGCTCCTCTTAGCACACCTGTCTGTGTGTCTGTTATACCTGGGCCAAGTATACTGCAAGAGAAGCTTGAGGGTTTCCAGTATCTTCAACCTTGCTTCTTCCTCTGGTCCATCATAAACTTCCAGATAACTAATGATGACTCGCTCCAGCCTCTTCATGTGCCGGACAGTTAGGATTCCCAACCTAAAAGCAAAAGAGAGGATGGGATGCCAAAGAACAGAAGTCAAGTACACAGCCAGACCAGCAGTACAGGGACTCGCCTCTTCACAAAAGCTGGGAGGTTTCTTGCATAGGTCCTACGTAAAAGCAGGCGGTGTTCTGGCTCCATGTGGGTCAGGACCAGCTGCAGCACCTGATCACAGAGTGTGCTGTGCCGAGCTGCCTCTCCTGTCCAGTGCATCGGTTTCTCCAGGACAGGGAATAAATCCAGCAAACAGGGGAGCACAGCCTACGGAGAGTAATAGGGAGGAACTAGAGTTTATCAATTTGCATTTGTAACACTGAATTTTCTAGTAACTTCACCTATCATCCCTGGAGTCCATGTCAAAGAATTCTAAGATACTAATAACAATACATCAAGTGTATTATACAACATTTTATATTTTAAAGTTTTTGTTACATTCCTTATCTCTGAGAATCTCAAGTTAATACTGTCTCCTCAGTACTATTATTGCTAACCTATAAAGTGAAGGAATGGCAGAGCTCTGACTTCAACCCAAATTTTACGGCAGAGCTGGGACTTTAGCGCAAATTTTACAAGTCTTCTATTAGTCTAATTCTCTTATCACTGAGTTACTAAGTCTAAGTGGTTACTCACATGTACTTATACAACTGTTCCTAGGTAGATTCTAAGATGGCTCTCATTATCCAATTTAACCATACTCTGAAGTCTCGGGAGCTGGGCACTCCCCTTAGGTCTCTGGGATCTTCAATTATGTTATGTTTTTTTGTTTTGTTTTTAAACAACTATTCTAGCATAAGAGCCCCAATTTTTTGGCTGTAAGTACCTAAAACAACATTTTTTAAAATGAAAGATGGCAAGTAGGAATGAGGGAGGGAGAGCAAAGGTAAGAAATGAGGTTATTTCTACCTTTAATATATAACATGTTTCTTCTATCTTAAAATTTTCTTCTCTCCATGAGCAAATATCACCCCTTCTATATACTCCTAACACCATCAAACCTGGTTAAGTTGCTGTGTTTTATACAAAAATCTCTAAAAAAATTTTATCACTGTGACATATATAAAAAGTCATTTATTTACATATGTTTCTCTAAAGAGTTCTTAAAACCAGAAACCCTGTGTGATTCATTCACTCTGAATCTAACACTTGCACATAGTAATTACTCAATTTCTCCTGATGAAAGAATAAGTTACACTAAAACAGTCAACATATAAGGAGTTTCAAGTGTCTGTATGGATATAAAGCAGCACAGAAGGACATCTAAATTTATAAAAATAACTTTCAGACACAAAGTTACCCCCAGTAATAAATAATTGATCCAGAAAGAGATAAAACACTGCCTTTTCCATGGAAAAGCCCTCGTGGTTCTGAGATATGGTCATGCATGTTATTTGCTACCTTTGCCTTTGCAGTTGCCAATGACTTTTAACTTCATCCTCATCTCCTAAGAGAAGAAATGTATCAACCATCTTACTCATATAATGCCACCTCCTCATATTTGGAAACTCAGACTCAGAGCTGTGAACTAAAGTTACAATTACCTGAACGAGGAGGTGCTCGGGTGTGTAGAGGTGGTTGAAAAGGGCATGGTACAGCACTTCGGCCCTGTTATACTGGAGCAAATCAGCAGCTGGCTGCAGTCAAAATACGTAATTAAAAGAAACATTTACCAAGGTTGGCAAGAGGCTGATAATTTTTAAAACTATGGGTACATGGGATCTGTCACACCTCTCTACTTTTCAATACATTTTAAAAGCCCCATAACACTGTTGTTCATAAAAATAAATTTTCTTAATAGTCTGTATATAAGCTATGGGTATAAGCCCTTTCAGTTTCTCATTTTTTTACTCCTTGAAAGTCAACTATTAATCATTCAAGTTCTGGTTATTTAGTTTAACAATGGCCTTCACTTCATGTATATGATAACAGTCCAAGTTTCGTGTACATACTTCCTATAACATACAACCTCTAGTAGGTTGAGTGAAACTATAAAAAGAAAATGTAACTGTAATAGTACTGATATAAAGCCAGTTAACAAAAAATATAAGCAGAGGCAAAACAGAACCTTTACTGTGATTGAGAACCAGTCATGTGGACTAGTCTGTGCCAACAACACATATCACAGAGCACAGACTCTTACCACATTCAGCACAATGTGATGGAGGCAGTGTACACCCAGGACTTTGTTCTCAGTCTGATAGTCATCTGAGATGAGCAATGATGATGGAAGTACCCTTTCCAGATACTGGTTCAGCCAGGGTCGAGTGACCTGTTGCAGAGTCCATGAGAAAACATACTTGGTGGCAGGATTATTCTTCCAAGATTCCCTAAACAGAAATGTGAAACCACATTCAGTCAGTGAAAATGTTAACGAGCAAAGGAAACTAACCAGTTCTAGTGAAACAGCACTTTCTTGTCCTTGGGGGTGAGGTGGGGGGGGGGGGTGGATTCCCATATAGGCTAATTTTTGATGCTTACATCTTAAAATTGAGACCAAAACTTTATAGGGCTTACACTAAATAGATTTAAGAGTCAACACGAGCTCTGGGATTAACGTTTATGCTATAGTAATGTTTAACAACAGTTATGTAAAGGATCTGTAGTGACTATGGAGATGATGTATTTAGAGGGAAGAGTTACCAGTAAGGAAATGTCTTCAAAATCACTATTACAACAGTTATACGGGACTCAGTGAATTAACATTTGAATAGCAATTTATAGTTTGAATTTACACACATTACTCAAACTTCAAAATAGGTTGTATTATCCTTACACAATAAGGAATTCTGAGACTAGTCTAATCCTACTAGAAGCAATAAAAAGAAGCACCAGACAGCCTGAAAACTAAGTCTTTAACCCCAAGTTCTTAGTAAAACTAAAATTACAGTTTTTTCTTACAACTACAAATGTCCAAAGCACCCAGTGGAAACTCAAACATTTTCGCTAGCTGCAATCCAAAAGGCTTTCACTGGTTCACCCCAATACCACTTTCCTGTCTACTCTCCCTGGCCAATAACTAGGGAGGAGTTTCAAGATCCCTCAACTTAAACTCAAAACACAAGCGTGTAAATTCTCTCCAAATCCATCTCCACCGACCGTTAGGGAATTAATGGGGCAGAACTTTCAAGTTACAACGCAGCTGCTGCGAGGGCTGGAAAAAGTTTCAGAAAACGGCATCTGAAGACCGTGGCTCGAAACTGCAATTGGCCACGATCGCCCAGCCAGATGAAGCTATCACCTACTACAGATCACAAGCTTTCTCGGCCTCGAGAGCGCCGCTCACAGCGCCTCAGCCTCACTGAGGAAACGAAAGCGCGCGCTGAGATTCGAGAACGGCGCGCTGCCGTTGGGGCGGGCGGGCTTCTGGGCAGGCGGCCACTCACTTGTTGAGGTCCGGTCTGAGCAGGTCCAGGACCACGCCCAGCGTCCCCTTCTCTCCCCGCCTTTCTCCACGCAGGAATCCCGACACCGAGCTGCACTCGCTCACTCGGAGCAGGGCACTGAGCACCTCGCCGGCAGCGTCCTGAGAGCTCGGGCTGGTCCACGGCTGCTCCAGGGTGTGTGTGACGGCAAATATATAGCAGGAGCCTGCCAAGTAATGGAGGCCGGTCTTCCAGGCTCGGCGACTAAAGGAATTCTTGGCAGCCTCGACTTTCCCCAGCAGTTTGACAAAGAGCAGCCCAACTTCTGCCGCTTTCTCGGCCACTTCGGACTGTCGGTCGCCCCTACCGCCCGGCTCCCTGGGCGGGGATGCGAACTTCGCCAGCGCGCCCGCCACCTGCCCTAGCATCTGCGGCGTTCCGCAGTGCGGGGTGTCTCGCCCCACAAATAACAAATTAAATTCTGACGTCTCCAATAGCGCACTCAGGTCCTGAAGAACTGTGTTTCTGGTCTTGCCCCGGCGAGACTCCGGGATGGCAAAACGGTGCAAGATTTGGGACACAGCCTGCACGAGGGCGGGGGAAAGCAGCTCTTTCCACCTCGGAGAGTCATCGAACGGCTGGAATTCGCGAAAGAAGTCGCGCTCCATCCTCAAACCGCGGCAGGCCAGGACCCGTCTCCCCCGGGGACAAGGCGGGAGGCCAGCAGGCTTTCGCTAAAGAGGGGACAAAAAACAATCACCCGAAGCTCGAATTCTCTTAAGGAACAGAAGTAAAAACAAACGGGACATTGGGGGAGGGGCGGGGAGTCTAACTGGCGTCAGACCAAGTGTGACAGAAAAAGATGTGAAAAGGGAACTCTCTAGGAGAAAATGAACCTCAAACCTTCAGACAGTGACGGGGCGAAACTGACTTTGTGGAGACTAAAACAACAAAAACGATAGTTTAAGAACTGAAACACAAACACAGAGCACCGACTTCTCCACGAGGATCCACAGCCCGCGTCGCCCAACGGTTATGCAAATTAGGACCCAGCTTATACCGTTGCCGCAAAGCACAAAGCTCGCTTCCGTCGACACTGCGGCAACGCATCCTTCAATTCACGACATAGTGCCGTAAAGCAATAAAGCGCCTTCCAAAAGGTGGAGCCACGGCAGATATATTTGCATATATATCGCCGGTCATTAATTTTGTTTGCACATAAGTTTATTTAGATAAAAACAAAAGGGTTTGCCGAAATATGAGTCTTATTTTCACATTATTGTGATTTTATATCTTAAAGCTGATTTTATATGCACAATCTCTGTCACCCTTTCTGTAAAGTCAGTGGGTCCTATTTGGCCCTCCTTTAGCTTTACAAAACCTTGATCCTTTTCCGGTTCATAAGCATGATGATTGGGTGTTCACGCCGTTGTGTGAGATGTGCCTCCCTTAAACCTTGTTACGACGTCGGCACATTACCCTTCTGACGTGAACCTGGAGAGGATCTTTTAAGGTTGTGTTGGGTAGGGTGTTAACCCTTTCATTGTTAGAGGAAGGTCTGTAATGCGTGGCCTGAACTACACAGTGTAGCGTCTTTATACTGGCCTTTATGCTGGTGCTCAGAGCAGACCCCCTGGAATGGATGATGGGGCCGACTAAGGCAGGCTTGCGGCTGCCCCCTGCAGCTTCACCCCATGTGTGAGTTGGGTGCTGGTTTGAGCTGCAGGTGGCGCTGGTAGCTGCGGGGAGAGTGAGCGATCCCAGGCTGCAGTCGCCTGGGTACTATATGCACCACTCTTTAGGAGGGATTCGTGGAGGGTGAACAGGTCCCATGTGTGCCCCTCGTCGTAACGTCTCGTACTATATTGACGTTGTCGGTCCGGCTCAATGCAGATTCCAAGAGTGGATTTGCCAGGGACTAGCTAGTCACAGTCCCTGGCCTCCCTTTGGAGTTTGCTTGTGACTGGCTCCCTCCGTGTCGTGGGAAGCTGGGCAAGCGAGCTTCATTTGTGCCAAGGTGACGGCGGGAACGCAGAGAGCACTGTTTGCAAACATCCTATCTTTTGTAGCCTGCCTCCGAGTCCCCCCTTCCCCCTTCCTTCTTCCCTCTCCTGCAGTGTGACCTTGGACAAAAGTTCTTTTACCTATTCGTGTCTTAATTTCTTTAGCAATAAAATGTGCGTTATAATAGTGTCTAATTCCTTACAATTGTTGGAAAACTAAAAGAAAATAAACTTGCTTAGAATGATCTCTGGCTAGTGGTAAATTGTATACACTCCCAACCCTTGTTAAATCGCAGTTGTATTAAAACTTTCATTTCCTCTCTTGGGGGGATTTTGTGTTTAAGACCTTTATGTCTGTTTCTTCCTTCGTCTTCCCTTCTCTGACCAGTTGGTGGCACTCATGATTTTCTGTAAGAAATGTGAAACGGGGCTCTCCCTGGTGGTGCAGCGGGTTAAAAGCCAGCACTAGGAAGATATCTGTACCCACAGCAGGATACCCGACCAGGGGGATGACCCACGACGTGGCAGACCTCTTCTGCCCCGCCCGCTGCTCCCCTCAGCAGTGTACTGTCAGTCGGTCTGTTCTGCTCCCCACTTGGTCTCTAGTGAATCCTCTCACCTCCCACACCTCCGGCCTTGATTGTATAAGTAAATAACTCTTTAAAAGAAAGAAATAAATTTGAAACTTTGAGATAAACCATTTCCTATAATAATGACCATGTGGGAACAAGATGCCAGTGACAGACTGTATGAATCCTTCCTTGTGTGAGAGCCCCTCTTCTCTGTCCCACATGCCCCTTGTGCTAAGAGGACCCAGGATCTCTCCCCCTTATGAGCAAAGTAATTTAACTGCAGAGATCTGCACTAATTTCCTGAGCCCAAAGACCATTTCTTAATCCTCAATTCCTGGCACAGTTTAGTCATGCAAGGGGTGTTTGTTGATCCCACATGTCCATCCACAGAAGACTGGCTGAATAAACCATGGCATATTCACACAGTAAAATTCTGTGCAGCTGTACAAAAGAATGAAGGCAATCTGTGGAAGGACAGAGAACTCCAAAACCTGTTATTAATTGAATAAAACAAAACAGAGACCATATATGTCTTCCAGGAAAGGTGCTGATTGAAATATAAAAGTGCAGTTGTTATGGAAAACAGTGTGACAGTTTCTTAAGAAAATAATCACAAAGTTAAACATTCCATCCACCAATTATTCCTAGTTTTACATGCAAGAGAACTAAGAACATGCACTCCTATAAGAACATGGACATATATGTTCACAGTAGAATTATTCAGAATAGCAAAAGTGAAACAACCAAAAACTTGAATGATAAACAAAATGTGGTTTATTGGTATGTTGGAATATTATTTAGCCACTATAAAGAATCAGTTCTGATATATGTTACAATGTGGATGAATCTATTATGATAGATAAAATAAGCCAACACAAAAGTCTCCATTTACATGAATAAAGTCTCCATTTACAAGTTAGTGGAGAATTGAAAGTGGAGAATTGAAAGGTTTGAGATGTCTGTGTTTTTTAAAAGCATATTCTGATATTAGCTATTAGTGAAGGTTGCCCATTCTTGTCAATATACTAAAACCTACTAAATGATATACTTGAAAATGGCAAATCCTGTGATATGTGAATTAAATATCAATTTTCTAACTGGTTTTAAAAAGTATTGAGGACCCACAGAACATTTCTTTATATGAGACAGAGATTAATTTTTTTCTCTGTTGGAAATTAAAACTGAGACTTAAAATTCCCATTTAGTTCTTTTACAAAAAAAGCAACAATAAACCCATTACATATTAAATAGAAGCTTACTTTTATGAAAAATGGCTTAAAAAAAAGAAGAGTGACATCATTGTACAGTTTTGTAAGCAGATTTGTAAAGATGTCCAACTCTTGTGGCTGGTTCAATAGGAGACAGCTGGATTCTGAGATGCACTGCTGCATTCAGTCTGCATTGGAAAACTCCATGGTAGAGTCATGAAAGAATGAGAATGAAAAAGACAGACAATATAATATTACAAAAATAATTTTGAATTCACAGACCTTCTGAAAGGGTCTTGGAAACCCTCAGGGGTCTCCAGATCACCTGAAGAACTGCTACTGGGAATACACATAAACACTGACAGTCAAAGTGACATGAGATCTGGGATCCACTCTAAAATATTCCACAGGAGGGTGATGGCAAGGAGTGACAGAGGATGGATGAGAAAGCACACAGACAATGTTGAATGTGGGTATTGGATCATGAATGCTCTTTATATTAGTCTCTATTTTTAGTATAAGCCCAGAATTTTCCATAATAAAAAATTTTGTTCTTATATTTGATCAATGCTGGTTTAACTGAGCAAAAGACCTAGCTGTCATTGGTAGGAAGGATAACCCAGCTAAAGACTGAGTTTGTAGACACAAACACAAATTTCATTCAGTTCCTGTCTTCAAAGGGTTTTCATGTGCTGGGGGAACAGTGAGGTAGTTCTGGTAACTGATTTTTATCACATTTGACAAACCCCCAGAAACTCTGTGCAGGGCCTTGTGGGTGTTTCCTCCTCACGGTCACCCTTTGAGGCTGGTGTCATCTACCTCTGCAGATGAGGAGAAGCTCTGAAGTGCTAACATCCACCATCTCCTAGCTGAGAGTGGTAAGAGCTGAGACCTCAGTCTTATTCAGCTTGCGCTCTTCATAGCTTGACCCTTCCTTTCTAAACCCTCGGGTACACAATTAAGAAAGTCACTTTCATTGTCTACTCACAGATGGCCCCTCAGCGGAATCCCACTTGTGACTTGGGGAGCCCACAGCTTTTAGAAGAACTAGAAACATTGGCTGGATGGATCATTGTTCAGACCCCACAGCGTAACTCATGGAATAGGCATTTTATCTGTTTGCCTTCCTCTCCCGGGTTCTTTCTCAACCTAAGTGTTTTGGACAGCAATTTGGCAACATCTCTTAAAAGAATAAATGAATTCCTTTATTTATTGTGCTCCTGAGACTATCAAATACAAATAATCATATGTAAAGATATGGGGTAAAGACAGCAAGAATGAACAAGTAGGTTCATTGCATCACTATTCATAGGGCAGAAACCTGAGAACCAGCGAAAGTTCATCAGTGGCAATTCCACATGGGGGAATTCTCCAGCCCCTTACGAAAATAATGAGAGAAACTAAGCCAGAGGGCTGGAAGGAGACTCTGCCCAGTGTTGTCCAGCAGGGACTGCAAGATACAGAGATGTTGTGATTGCGTATTTGTAAGATGGTGCTTAAAAAGAGGAATGCCTGTAATGTGGGCACACACACACGTGCAGGTCAAAGAATCTTTGAGAAAGGAGAATCTGTGAGGATACATCCCATGTTCTCAGCACAGATGACTTTGGGTCCTGATGTAAAAAGGAGAAAGATGGAGGAGCTTACAAAATGAAAATAAGGGGAAAAAATGACCACACCTTTAAAAAAAGCTAATATATGATTACATTTATGTGCTTATGTAAAATTATGGATGAGTGCGGTTACAAGTAAAATTTTAAATATTACCTTTATGGAGAAATGGAAAAATGCAATAAATTCCAAAGATCTTGTGGCTTAACATTCAGCATTACTTGTGTTTTCCAGAAAGCATATGATTAAAGGAAAAACAAAAGTGAGAGAAAATAAAAAGGAGTGTTTGCTTTCCTTCTTTCTTCTAAGAGTTCAATAATTGATGTGATTATGCCAGTGTTCCAACGACGTCTTTCAAGGTTCACATGGTCTGAAAGTGGTTAATAATAGCATCTGGGAACACACTGTAAGATAATTACTGCTTTCAGCAGAACTACTTTTGTGATTATGGGCCAAATGGAAAAATGATAGTACAATATTTACAACCCTTGAATGCCTGTGGAGAATAGGAGACCATATATCCTTTCACATAGGAGGTGACATTTTTAGCTTTGGCGGTGAAGGCTGGTTTTAGCTAAATAAGGTACTAATTATGTTGAAGGCTTATGTGTTTGTAACATGTGTAGAAACAGCCCCAAACGGC